AAAGAAAAATTACAAGATAAGTATAACTCAAGTATTTTTAAAAGATAATTGAATTATTACTATTCAAGTATATTTATATATCTTTGAGATTTTACAAGTTTTTATCTAAACTTATTTGCTATTCTAGATTACAATTACAAATCTTGAGATAAAAGATCAATAAATAAACAAGTAAAAATAAGAAATAAGATACATATGGTAAGTTAAATAATAATATAAATGATAAAATAAAATAAAAAGATAAGATATATATTCTAAAAAGAAAAGATAATTGATAAAAATAAATGAAATTCATTGCTAAACCATTTCTGAAGTATTTCTGAATTATTATTGAACTATTTGTGAAATATTATTGATTTTGGAGCTAATTATTTATTAATAACTTTAAAATATTGTAAAAATATTACAAGAATATTGCAAAAATATTATTGAATCATGATTGAATCCATAACTGATATATCTATTATATTATTTAAAATTACATATCTTTTAAAGATTGATTAATTAATTAAATTTTTCAAGTTTGAAAAATTATGAAATTAAAAAAATTTATGTTACTATGATAATAATATATAGAAAATATTGAAGTTCTCTTGTTTAATAATTTTAATAAATCTTATGAAATATAATCTAATGAATGAATTACTCAAGTAATCTTTTTACAATTTATTCCAATTAAAGAAATAATATCTATAAATATTAGAGAAGAATTAGGAAAATTATCTCATTGAACTCAAGGATTTGGATTAACTAGAAAAGATAAAATAGAAGTATACTTTCTAGATAAAGAAGAAATTACAAAAGTAATTAAACAAAAAGAATTAATACTTGAATAACAAGATATCTTATATAACCTATTATAAGTATATAAGAATATTTTTACATTAAATCTAAATGAACTTGGATAAATCAAAATTATTTAACATTTAATTAATACTGAAAATGAAAAGTCTGTCTGTCAAAAGGCTTACAGAGTAACAAGAATTTATTCATGATAAGATCCAATAAATATTAGATATAGATATCATTCAAAAATTCAATAGTCTCTGGACTTTATCTATTATAGTAGTAGTAAAAAAGAATAACAAGAAATAATTTTATGTTGATTATAGAAAACTCAATATACTCATCAAGAAAGATATCTATTCTTTATCACAAATTAATAAAATGATGGATAATCTTGGAGATGTAAAATGCTTTTCATCCATGAATCTTATATTTGGTTATTGGCAGATCAAAATAGAACTATTCAGTATTGAAAAGATAGTATTTATTTATTAATCATAAAGTAATAAATATTTTTGATAGAATAATATACTTTAATAATTAAAATTCAATAAAAATTATATTTTAGTAAGTTATAAATTATTATTCCAAAATTATTATAAAAATCTTGTTAATTTTCTTAATATTTTTCAAGTTTTTTAGATAGTATTATAAAGAAAATATTTTAGCTATTTAACAAGATATTAGAATTTACAATAATAAATTTTTTTATTAAGAATATTTTCAATTTTATATTCTTTTATTATTTGAAATAATAATAACTAGTAATAATAAAAATTCATTATTTGAATTATATTTCTTTAATAATAAAATATAAAATATCAGATATATTTTGTATTAATTGATAACTTTAGTTTATAAGTGATAAAAGATATTTTATTAATAATTTAAAGAATCTAATGAATTTTGATGTGAATTTCTTGATTATTCTTTATTTATTAACCAAATTATTTATATTATAAGTAAAAAGAAGAACTTGATTTCTAATAATAAATTCTTTATATTTTTTATACTAATTATATATTTACTTTATTTTATACTTCTAATAACAAATCTTTAATAGTCTTTATTATAGTATTTCAATACTTTATGAATTCTTGAAAGATTATAATATTATTTAATAATAAGAAAATGATGATTGAAATTTGAGATATTTATTTTACAATCTAATTTAAATAGTATATATCCAGTAGAAGTATTTTTGCTATTATTATAGATAAAATTAACTGTTATTAGATTTTTATTTCATTAATCTTATTTATATATTATATAGATTTTAAGCATTTCTTCTAAAATTCTGTTTAATCTTTCAGTCTAATCATGAATAAAAGACTTTTATTATTGCTAATTTTATTTCAAGTTATTAAAAAATAACTTTCAAATTTGCTTGTAAACTTGATATTTCTATTGGAAATTATTACTGAGAATAGATCATATAATTAAAAGATATTTTCAAAGAATATTTTAGTGATATTGCTATTGTGTGTATTAGTATAAAGTGTACTTTTTTTGAAAGCTCATTAACTAAAACTATTATTACATCATATCCAAACTTAGTTGAATTAAAAAGTTCATGGTAACTTGTTCTTATCTGTTTTCTGGAATGGTAGTAATTATAGTAATCCAGAAAGCTATTGATTACTACTTTTGTTATGCTAACAAGATTCATAATTGGTGATGTATTTGTGAATACTTTTAAGAAATAGTGGCATGTGTTTTACCAATTCCAATATATTTAGCAATTAATACATCAAATAAAATCTTTGTTTTTATTATTTTATCATCTGGAATGACTATGTGATTGGTATTCTTTAGATAAAGCAGATCTTCTTTTAGTTCAAAAATGTTTAGTCTTTGCTTGTTATTTTGATATTGTATTGTTAAAGGTTTGCAATGCTTCTAATATTTCTGCAAAATATTTATCTTCTTTGTATTTCTAGATTAACATCTCTTTGTCAATAAGATTGGTGATGACAATAGTGATATTTGATAGGTGTGATTGGCAAGAAAGTGCATTAGTAATAATATTATCTTTGCTAGTCTTGTATTTTACGTCAAAATTCGTATAATTTCATGTGACGGTGTATCAACATGTATCCTTTCCTTTATCGTTTCGATAGTTGATGTTCATTATCGTTATTACCATCGTTATTATTACATGTAAATGTATATGGAGGAGGATCTTGAATATTATTGTTATCATGTCCTCTGAAAATCTTGTCAACGTCTGTGTCAATGATGATGATCCGATCCTCATTAAGCTGCAAAACTTACAGAAATATGTGAAATACTTTCTGAAAGACATCGCATAAAAACGGACATATAACATCTTTTTTATGTCTACTTAAAGATGGCTCGCCCATCATACGGAAACAGATTACTTTTTGAAAGATACATGTATTATTGACCTTACTAAAAATTTGAAAGTAAAGGATGAGCTTGAACTAGATTGGGTAGAGGTTGTTAAAAAAATTCACTTGAATGTGGTTTATTTTTCACAAATGATGGGCCAAGATCTGCCGAGGGAAAAGCGTTTCAATATCCGAAGACTAAATTGGCAAGACAAATTGATTTAGATGAAGAATTAAAATATAAAACGGAAAAAGACGTTTCTCGTGCAAAAAATTAATTCATCAAAGCAAATTTAGATGTAAACTTACCACAGTAATTTATTTAATCTTTTTACATCTAAAAAAAATGCAGTATACCGTGCCGTGTTTGATATTTTTTACCAGTCAAATTCTGTCAGTCATAAGAACAAACAACAATTTCAATGAACAAATCAGAAGTTATGTCATCTGAAGAATTTATTTCCGCAGTAGATTTAGCACTCGATCGAAATTGCTGTGAATCCCTCGAATAAATCACGATATATTTGGTTGAATTTTTGGTTTAAAAATTAGGAATTGGTGGAAGCATTTATATTTTAAAAAGAAAATTTATTAATTTTGGTATTATCGGAGGAATAATTGAACAAGGTAAAGAAACAACCCAAAAAAATGAAATTAATGAATATCTTGTTTTAAACTTTGTGGTTTGGAAACACTTTACGTGATCAATCAAGGAATGAGTGGTATGTGAAATACAAAATTTATCAAATGGTTTGTACTTATACTTTAGCATTATAAATATTGTATTTTGTAGGATAGATTACGACATTAAAAGATTATAAAACATGGGAGGTAGCCGCTTATTCTGATATTAATTCAATGTTTGATATCCTTGATGAAATAAGAAGAAAAAAAATAATAGCAGAATTGCAAAAACGAATTATTGATTCACAAGTCATAAAACAGGATTTCGAATGGATATTCTTAACAAAATCCCGAAAATAGGATTAATTGAATTGTTAAATTTTTGTTACAGAAATGAAAGATATTGCATCGGCTTGGTCATTGAACAAAACACGAAAAATCCAACCATTTTCAAATAAAATTAGGCTGATCATATTTGGAAATGGAACATAGTTCAGCGGTTATTGTGTTTCGTATAAACTAAAGTTCTATTGATTCAAGATCTAAAGAAGAATAAAAAAATATCCGGATCGTATTTTTATAATAACGATGGTGCTATTGAAACTTGTATTTTTGGCTATGAATCCAAAAAAAAGTAAGTAATATTAGTCTTAATATTCGGAGCTCATCATAATATTATTTATTATCAATACAGTAAAATAACATTTAATATATTTTTCTTATTGTCATACATGTAATTATTTTTTATTTACAATTACCTCGCAGTATAATAACCGGACAACAAAATAATAAATTCGAACAAAAAAAATAATAAATTCGATCAACAACAAATAAGAGCGCATCCGTTCTTAGAAACTCATTTAATCAAACAAAACGATACACTATCATGACTTAACATCCTAACATGAAAACGATCAATCTACCGCTATTCCGTCAAAACACACAACGCAATCATGTTTGCAGAATTCTATTTTTGTTAACTTGATTATGAGTAAATGTCCAGAAAAAGTAAAATATTTCTTTGTCAAGGTACATGTACACCCCCCTGCCAAAAGTATCCGTCACTTTTGATGATCGGCATTATTTCGAAAATTTTATCAAACATTCAAATTAAGTTTGTTCAGAAACTGTATTAATAACTTTTAATAAAATTTATATTTTTGAAATCCTCTTGTTATGAACTTTTTATTTATAGCATTAATACATTGTGGGATTTCCTCCACTATTAATTACAGCCTCAACTCTTCGAGGCATGCTATTTACTAAATTTTCTAAAACACTTTCCTCAATTTTCAACCACTCCTCCTCCAAAACAGAAGCTAATTCTCTCTTATTTTTTGGTATGGGTTTGTGTTCATGCAATTTTCTTCCAAGATGATCCCACAAATGCTCAATTGGATTGAGATCTGGGCTCTGAGCAGGCCATGGAAGAGAAGATATCAAATTTTCATCTTTCCAAAGTTAGCCCTATGGACAGGAGCATTATCATCTTGAAAGACATAATTTTTTTCATCATCTAGGCTTTCAATAAAAGGGACTAAATGATCTTCTAAAAGTTTTTTATAGACTTGGCCTGTAATATTACCTTCTAATACTACTAAAGATCCAAGTTGATTTTTAACAAAACAGCTCCAGATCATTATCTCTTCTCCATTACTCTTTACTATAGACACTAGACAGTCTATATCATATTTCTCATGAGGTCTACACCAAACCCATTGCTGACCATTATTTTCAAATAAAAAAAACCAGGATTTATCACTCCAAATAATTATATCCCATTATTTATCCTAATCTTTATGTTCATGACACTATTTTAAGCATTTTATTCTATTATTCTCAGAAATGAAGGGCTTTCTCTTTCTAATACAGCCAAAAAAGTTATAATTATAAAGCACACATCTAGCAGTATAAGTATTAATCTGAGTAAGATCTAAGCTGTTAAACAGCTCAGTAATCTCTTCAAGTGATTCTTTCCTATTATCTTTGATTACTTATATAAGAGTTCACTCTTCATGATTAGTCAAAAGAGATGATCTTCCTGTATGAGGAAGAGAGTTGGTTATCCTATTATTTTCAAATTTATTAATGATATCAATGCAAGTAGTTCTGGGTATTCCAAGTTTTTTTAAATATTTGTAGCATTATGCTTGTCCTTGTAAAGTTTAATAATCATTTCATATTCAAAATCTGAGTGTTCACGAGACTTAGACATTTTTTATAAAATATAGTAAAGAAAACTATAAAATAAGTTTATAATTTTTGGAAGTTACAGTTTTTATTTGCTTGGGAAAAAAAAGCACTTGAAATTAAGTTAGATTTAAGAAGAGATATTCTATTTTGAATATAGATTACAAAGCAGAATTTTATTTGCTGATCACAAAGTGATAGATACTTTTGGCAAGGGAGTATACATGTATATAGATACAAGATTATATTACACATGAATTATATTGAGCACAAAAAGTAGTTTCATAGGTAAAATTTTGAGAAATAAGCTATTTTTCAAAAGTAAATGTTCGATTTGATTTATTTCTTAAAAAATCATATGACTAATATCTTTTTTTGCTATTACTAAGTTTGATATCTTAAACTTTTTTCAATTTTCTGATATAAATAAACAAATATATATATTTTAAATTAATATTTAAATAAATATTCATTATTTTATATCAATTTTGGAGTAATATATCTCAATTAGTTACTGAATTAATCTAAATATAATACAATAACTCACTAAAGAAATGGAATATGGAAAAAAATGGTGAGATTCAAATATCTCATCATTGAAGAATTATCAGAGACCAAACAAAAGTGGATTTTATTCATTAAAATAATCACAATAACTTAATACAATTTTTATTTTTATCTATCTTTTAAAATTAAATTAACTTGAATTTCAAATTTTTTTAGTATTTTGTCTATTATGAGCTAATTATAACTGATCTGGAGGATAATATTTAAAGGCAAGTTTCTCTTTAAGAAAAGATCAGCTATTATTAAAAAAAATTATATTACACATTACTAAACTAAGACTACCATTCTATATACCCATCTCTTATCTATATCACATCATTAGCTCTTTCTGACATCAAATTGATCAACTTTTTACAAAAGGCAATTTCAATACTCCTCCAAGTAATTTGTAGCTTTTCTTATCTAAAAGTGAACCAGGAAGATTCCATAAGCATCTGTTAACTTTATTCTATAAATTTTCAATTAGATTTAAGTCAGGGAACTGGATGGACCAATCAAGTAAAGTGATATCATTATTCTTGAATCATTGCTTGACTTTTCTGGATATATATTTTGGATCATTGTCTTATTAAAATATAAATTCACTATCTTCTAGTATTTTTTCATAAATTATATCTAAAAAATTATTATTTAATATATTAACATAGACATCAATATTCATTTTGCTATTGATTTTTCAGAGTTTATCAATTCCATTAACAGTTAGACAATCCCAAATCATAATGAAACCATTATCAAATTTTATAATTGAAGTAATATAATGATCTTTTAATTGTTTACCAGACTTCTTCCAGTACTATTTGCATCCATTCAACCCAAATAATTGAAACTTGCTTTTGTCAAACCAAATTATTTTCTATCAATCATTGGCCATCTAATCTTGATATTTTTTTATCCATTTTAATCAGAGTTTTTTGTGTGCTTTTTTAAGTAATGACTTTTTTCACTTAATTCTTGTAAATAAATTATTTCTTCTAAATATACATTATATGCTTTTTACTGAAATTTCAACTCCCAGTTTAGCTTGGAGCTTATGTTGAACTTGGATGGTGATAGTATATTTTTCAGATGATATTAATCAGATGACATTCCATTTATAATGATTCAAAAGAATGTGTAGATGATCAGTTTTTGGCTTATCTTCAAAGTTTCCAGTTTCTTCTTTATTTTTGCAAATACATTGAACTGAAGCTAAGCCCACCTGTTCTGATAATATGATTTTCCAGACTGAATATTCTTCTTGTCAAATTTGGGCATGTTTTTCTAGTGAAATGTGAGATATTTTGAAATTAAAAAATGATTAGAATTATTATTTAAAATAAAGAAAAATATTCTATAGATGTTGTAATAGAAAAAGAGCTTTTATACTTATCTTTATAAGCCTGAACTTTTTTGTCTAAATCAGTCATATTATATAGAATGCTAAAAAAATTTAAAAAAATCATTAGCTTACAAAGTAAAAGATAGATGAAAATAAAATATATATTAAATGATTGTGATTATTTTAATAAATAAAATTCACTTTCTTTTGATCTCTAATGATTCTTCAATGGTAAGATATTTAAATCTCATCATTTTTTTTCCATATTCCATTTCTTTAGTGAGTTACTGTAAATATCAAACTGCTCATCTTGATCAGGTGAATTGAATATGTCTAAAATCATAGAAATCAGATCTAGACTGGCAAGATATCAATATTCACACAAAAATTTTTAAATATAAATATATGTACATACAATTTTAATTTACATAAATAATTAAAATATCACAGGGAGAAAATTTAAAATTGCTTATACTGTGATAGAATTTTTTGACATTGTTAAAATCTTTCACTGAATGGTGAACCATGGGTTTGAACAGATCTTTATGAAGTAAATTTTATCTATTTCTTTTATATTATTTCTAAAGGTAAACTATACACTAAGAAAAGAATAATAACATAGTCACACACCTTTAAATACACACTTTTGGGGCCAGCCTGATTGTGTGTACTTAGAGGAGTATACATTTAGATAGTATATGTATATACAGTGTGAGACATTAGATTCCAGAAATTTCTCAGCAAGAAGTCAATTAGTGTAACAAGGCTGATTTAGACCAGATTTTCTTTCTGTTTTATGCTATTTAATCACAAGATATGTGGCTACTCATGCTATATTCCTATTCATCAATCCTTATTTCAATTTTTCTCAAAATATCACATCGAAATATCCATAGAGAAAAAAAAAAGCCAACGTAATGCAATTTTGTTCCACTAGAACAATGATATTTGTAAAATCATCAAAATATATAAGTTAACAAAGATTCCAAAAAGTACTATTCATGATAATATTCATCAGATAGAAGAAAAAGATATTAATAAGCATGCCAATGATAAGGGTCAGTCAAAGAAAATAATGAAATCAACTACGCATACAATAGGACAATTTATTTGTCATGATTCTTCTATTTTGACAAGAAATATTGTAACAAAACTAGAAAATAAGGGTGTTGAAGTCTCTTATAGGACTGTTGCACAGTATTTAGGTGATAATAGATATTCATTTAACCTCACCTACAAGACACCTATGCTCACCAAGGATTAAAAGCAAAAATATGTCGATTAGGCCCGAAGATATCTTAATAACAACTGGAAAAAGATATTTTTTTTAGATGAGACATCTTTTCAACTATTTAGAAATATGGTTAAACATTGGTATAAAGATTTCTGACCAATTCATCGCATTCCAAAGAACCATAACAAAATTCATGCATGGAGTGGATTCTACATAGGAGATAAATTGTCTTTACACTGTTTTAGGGAAACAATGAACTGATTTTTTTATCAGAATTCTTCATGAAAATATCCCGGAGGTAAAGGTGATGCTTGATAACCAGTTTCAATGGCAGCAAGACAATGATCTGAAGCATAACAGCCATCATGCCCAGGCTTTTCTTGAACAAAATGTTCTTGAAATTATCAACTGGCCATCCTACAGTCCCAATCTAAACCCTATCAAAAATTTATGGGCAATTGTTAAAAGAAACATCGAGAAATGAATGCCAAAAAATCTCAACGAATTAGAGCAATTTATGGTGGAGGAATGGAATAAAATTCCAGACTCGACATTAAAATCTTTGGTGAAATCAATGAGGAATAGGTGTTTGGAGGTGATAGAAAAAAATGGCAAAGCAATTTTCTTCTGATTTTTTTTTAAATAAAAGATCTATATTGCAGTAATTAATCAAAAAATTTTCACGTGGTTTGGTGCCATCATTCTCGAGTAATCTCGAAATTTATAAATCCGGATTCTAATGTCCCACACTGTATAATAAATTATGCAAAAAATGGCAATCACAAATTACATGTGATCCAACTATGTTTTATATGTGCTGTCACAATTATAAGTATATTAAAAGATTTTTGTCTGTGACTAAAGTTTGAACGAATAATTAGACTGATTGAAAATAATAAATTGAATATATAAAAAAAATAAAAATAAATGAATTTTTTATGACATGTAAAAGTTTGAAGGGTAATAATTGATAATTTTGATCAAAATTTTCATAATCTGGTCAAAATTATCATAATCACGTGCTTTCGTGCTTAGCGAGACTATAAAAAATTTCTTCATACTCCACGTGCACATACATTTAAAGGGTGTGCAATAAATCCCATCATGGGACTAGCTCAATAATGTGCATTTAGAGGAGGGGAGTATGATTATAGTTATTTTTTGCTTTGTGTTTTAAAATCAAAATGATTTCAAAGTTTATGCATGTTCAAAAAATAACGATACAGTATGCATTTTATACCATTGTTATCCATTTTATTAATGTATTTTAGTGCCGAAAAAGGAGGTTATAACATATAAATTATTTATTAAACTATTCTAACATAGAAAGTTTTAATAAATAATATGAATATACCTATTATAATATACTTGTAAATACTAAAAATTCGATGATATTTTTAAGTCTTATTCTATGATAGTCTTGTTAATTAGCACGGAAATATGCAATGCTCCCATTATCCATATCCACACTGTATAAAGACTTGAATTCTGCGTGCTTTGGTGTAGGATTCAGGACACCATGAGGACATTTTCCATTTTTAGGGCATTCATTCATAATTAAGTTAACAAAAATAGGATTCTGCAAACATGATTGCGTTGAATGTGTTGACGAAGTAGCAGTAAATTGAACGTTTTCATGTTGTGACGTTAAGTGCTTATAGTTTTCAAAGGATATTTTGTATCGTTTTTTTTGATTCAATGGGTTGCGAACGGAAGCGCTCTTTATTTGTGCTTGACCGAATTTATTATTTTGTTGTCCGGTTATTATACTGCAAGGTTAATGGTTGGAATTGTAAATAAAATAAATAATTATAAGAATAAGAAAATAAATAATTATAAGAAATAAGAAAAATATAATAAATATTATTTTACCTATAATTGATCGAAAACTCTGTGTTCAATTTATCCAATTGATAAACTAGTTTTCCTTTTTAAATAAATGTATAATATTAAGAAGAGCTCCGAATATCAAAACCAATATTAATTGAAGAATTGCTTACTTTCTTCTAGATCATAGCAAAAAGCACAAACTTTAATACCATCCTTATTATATACAAAATGCGATCCCATAATAAACTTGGACATCTCATAATCTTCTTTAGACTTTGAAACAAAAGTAGCCAATAGACCTTTGTTCGGATCCTTCTTATATGAACCATCAATCGCTTTGCTCGGATCCTGCTCATATGAACAAATAATCGCTGAACAATGTTCGTTTTTCACTGTGATTGATGATTCTCCGCTTTCAAAAACCGGCTCGTCTTTCACTGATTCTCCGCTTTCAAAAACCGGCTCGTTGGATAAATTCAACATAGTTGATGTTCCAAGTACGATCCAGCCTAACTTTATTGAAAATGATTGAGTTTTTCGTGTTTTATTCAATGACCCAAGTCGATGTAATAGTATTACAGGTTGTTTTTTATCGTTAATATTTTCATTATCATTAATAATATAATGAACTCGAGAAGCAAATATCGCATTCGAGTTGTCATCTTTCATTTCTGTAACAAAAATTTGACAATTCGATAAATCATATCTTTTTGGAATTTTATATATATATGGATACGGTGTAAAAATATCCAGGCTGAAGTCCAGTTTTACAACTTGCGAATCAATAATTCGTTTTCCCAAAGCTGCCGCTACTTTTTTTCTTCTTTCGTCATCAAGGATATCAAATATTGAATGGATATCATCAGAATAAGCGGCCACCTCCCATGTTTTATAATCTTCTAATGACGTAATCCATCCTACAAATTACAGTAATATATACATGTACATATAACGATAAGAATAAATACAAAACCATTTGACAAATATAGTGTTTCATACCACTAATTCCTTGCTCAAGTAAGAGTATTTCTAAACCTCCACGACGTTGAAAACAAGAATATTCGCTAGTTACTTCAGTTTTTCGGCTTACTTCTTTACATTTCCCAACTGTTCCACCAATGCCAAAATTAATATAATTCCTAGAATCTTTGTCATTTTTAGTTTCATCTATAATCGATTCTCCCTTTTTAAAATATAAAATGCTTCCACCAATCCCTAATTTCTTACACCAAAATTCACCAAATTCTTTTGTGACTTGTTCAATGGATTCACGGCAATTTTTCTCGAGTGCTAGATCTACTGCAGAAACAAATTCGTCAGTTGGCACAACTTCTGATTTGGTCATTGAAAATATTGCTTTTATTCTTATTGATTTCTGGTACGTTTTTAAGTTTACGTTATTACTATGCTTGACAGATTTCGAATGGTATGAAGTACCAAGATTCGCAGGAATTGGTATACTACATTTTTGTAAATGTAAAAAAATTAAACAAGAAGAATTGAAAATTTAAGCAAAACTAGAACCTTACTGTGGTAAGTTTGCATCTAAATTTGCTGTGACGAATAGATTTTTTGCACGAAAATTGTCTGTTTCCGTTTTACAATTCAATTCTTCATCTATAGTAATTTGATTTGGCAATATCTTTTCCGGATATTTCACAATTTTAAATGCTCTCTTCCTTGCATAACTCGGCCCATCATCCGTGAAAAACAACCCACATTCAAGTGAATTTTTTTCGGCAATATCTATCCACTCTGGCTCAATTTCACCTTTTATTTTCAAATTTTTATTAAGATCGATAATATCTTTCAAAAAATAATCTGTTTCCTCGTAACATGGAATTCTGGGCGAGCCATCTTTAAGTAAACATAGAAAACAAGTTTTTTGTCCCATTTTTATGCGATACCTTTCAGAAAGTATTTCACGTATTTCTGTAAGTTTTGCAGTTATAGGTAACTTGAGAAGGATCGGCGTATCATCATTAACATAGACATTGATAGGGACAAGTTTTTCAGAAAATATGGGTTTCATGTTAAATATAACGATAAAGAAAAGGATACATAGCAAACATTGAAAAATCACAAGAAACATCATGTCGGCAAGAAAAAATTGTATTTGCTTATTTAGAAGACAACCGACTCAAATTTAATGTGTTGTAATACGTATTGCGCGACATTTCACAAACGATACACCTATATTGGGCCGAACTGTTTCACCAAAAAATCCACATACATGTAGTAACACCCGATTTGCATGTGTAACAACATATGCGTCGCGTTTTCCCATTTTTGCTATTGTTGACCCTAATTTTTTTTTAACATACACTACAGCACTAGATGAAATTTTTTAGGTGTAAATATGATACCTGTTGTACCAGTAGGCCATCTCTGACAAGGATAAAAATAGTGAAGTTATGAGTGTCAAGCAAGTTGCAAGAAAAATGTGGCCTAACCCGATTAGAGTATAAGGGTCTCTTGTCAAGTACAAAAGAAACAGGAAAAACAAAAATTTACCACTGTCTGAGAGACCATAAGCTTATAACTATCAAGAAAAAAATGCATATATGCAAGAAACTAAAAAAGATATCCCGAGCCATTTCATGGCATTGGTAATAAAAATCTGTGCAAAAACTTACCTGAAGATTCTCTAAGGTAATTTGATCCCTTTCGTAATATAATTTGCTCATTGGCGCTGATTTACTCTATTTGAATTTATTTCATTTTTTTCCCTAATGTAGATCAAGTTGTTCTCTCAAATTAAAAAAATGTGTTGTAACCCGATGATAGTGTAATGGTCTCTTGCCAAGTACAAAAGAGAGATAGGAAAACAAAAAATTTTCACTGTCTGGGAGAACATAGGCTTTTAAAATCAAGAAAAAAATGCACCTATACAAGAAGCAAAAAAAGACATCCTGAGCCATTTCACAACATTGGTAATAAAAATTTATGCAAAATCTTATCTGAAGATTATCTAAGATAATTTGGTCCCTTTTCATAATATAATTTGTTTATTGATTTGCAAGAACATGATATTTCAAAAAAATAAAACTTGATCTACATTAAGGAAAGAAGCCATGAATAGAATCAAATAGAGAAATCAATGAATATTGTGTTCTCATGACCTAAACTTCATAGAAATGTCTCCAAGTCATTGGGGAACAATATCCTAAACTGTAAAAGCTTCTCAAGGATCACGTAAAAGCTCAAGACTACTCTGAAGAAAATTCAATATGTTGGCTTTTAGGAGATTGTAGGCTGTATGTCTTGAGAAATCAAAGCAATATTAGAGCTATATAAAGAGTTAATAGTGTACTATCTATTAGCAAAAAAATATTTTTATATTTATAAGACAGAAATAAAATAAATCTGAAATTTTATTTTTTAAAAAATCAGATGTTACTTTTTGTGGCGACTGTACACTCGGTGGTCAAAGTCTGCAATCGGGAAATGATCAGCAAGGTATAGAGATGGGCAAATACGCGCATAGTTCATCACTATGCATACTATGCACATTATGCATATAGTACGCATATGTGCATAGTACGCATATACGCATAGTACGCATATGCGCATAGTATACATATAATACGCATAATGATCTACATATACATATATAGTAATCAATCAAATACATGATGTGAATTCATAAAAATTAATGATGATTTTTATTTTCTATAACTATTATATATATTAATCAATAATTATCACTATCACT